TTCACCTCTTGTGCTAGTCATAAGGAAAATACAGATGAGGGCTACGTGAATCAAAAAAATTGATACATAAAATACATAGTTTCCATATGTCCCTCCGTATACATGGTACTTTACCACACGAAACGGATCTGAATGAGAATCTGGCGAGTGACTGAAACAAAGAATAAACTTACGAAGAAACGATTGAAAACTAAGAGACCAGGATGAAAATATAATTGAATAAATGAATGAATTAATGAATGAATTAAGAATTCAGCGATTGAAGGAACAAACCAACGAATGAAAAAATGAATTGATAAAGTAGTGAAAAAATGGACAACACCTGCTTTGCATTAAAATTAAACCCCTGTGCTGAACCGGCGACAGAAATAATATTAACTTATCGATGTGAATCTGTAACAGTTATAACTCTGCACCCCATTGAGTTCAATATGCCATGGATAAAGCGCAAACTGATTTAAGACCTTCAACTTCATGTGTTCTACCTGTTTAATTTAAAGTATGTTTTTTTTCTAGAAAACAAAATTTTTTCCAGTCGTTTTCTTCGAATACTAGGGACCTTACGCAAACCACGACGGCGACGGGAACGTGAAAAAAACAAAAGATCTAATTGGAAGAAGAATAGCCCAGCACGTGTGTTTTAAGACTTTGTTCATTTCTTAGCTGCCCTTTGCAAAACAACAACGTGAAATCACCAAAATTTGCGTCGTCTGCGAACCGAAACCGCGACGGCAAATTATTATAATTTCCATTTGGCCCTCAACGCTACTTTGATGCTTTATGTTGAGGTTGAGGTCTGGCGCCCTAGGAGACGGTAAACACATGCCGTCATTTTCGAAATTCAAACTAAAAGTTGAAATTTATTTTTTAATCGACGTCTTCAGTGGCGTTGCCTTCCTGACTGCTAAGGTCCCTAATTTTGTGTCTAAGTCGTGAGTTGTTGTAAACGTCTCGCGTGAAGCTATTTGAATCGTCTAATGAAGAGACCAAATGTGTTTACGACTCAGTAAAAAATTTACGCATGTAGCGCGTTTCATGCAAAATGTTTCAAACTACAATTAAAAACAGCAGTGCGAACAAGACGTATCCTTTATATCAGTCAGAGATTTTTACCCTTGTGTATTTAATTTTCTCTTAAACGCCGGCTTCGTAAATATGTCCAGAAATGTAATTTAATTAAAATTCGCCGAGATCTATGACCCTGAACTTAACTTAACTTATACACGTACAAACCATTTTGTACGGACATAACTGAATCACTGAACCTAGTATATATGCGACAAGAAGACTGCCTTGCTAACTTATAAAGGAAATTAAAAGCGATGTAGCGCTTGACGATGACATAAAAACATACGTAAATAATATCACAGAACTGTGTGCGACTGCAAGAATTTAAACCCACGAACTAATGGGTATCATGTCGTCCCTAAGATCACTATTTTAAATTTTATTACATGGGTGAAAACTTGTTAAATGTACTCTCATGATTTATTTCAAAACATGTTTCAGGGGCAATACAAACAATTCGTCAACATCGCAGTCTGCAATCGTTGAGAACGGTTTGAGATTTTCCACTTAAATCGATCATTTACTTTTCGATCGAAAGGTTCTTATAGTCTGATAATGAATAATAAACTTCCTTGAATTATGATTTTGGTCAGGGTCAGTGAAAAACTTTAGATAGATGTAATATAATATAAGAAGCAGCACGCCCAATGCAAGCTCATTTAGAATAATGATGTTTTAGAGGGAGTAGAAAGCTTCGAACGCCGATATATATTGTGAAAGTTCTCCCAAATAGGGCCAGAATCAGATGAGTCTTTGGAGGGAAAATAAAATCCCTACCGAGTAAATTAGAAGCCATAATTCTTTGGAAACTGTTAGGTTATTTAACTCAAATAACACTATGGATCTGTTGAATTGTCGACAATTACAACAACGATTTTAACGCGCTTACCTCGATGTGGTGCTTGTACTCCTACATATTAGGGCTTCTATATTTTAAAAAACCAAAAAGCAGAATATCTTGTAATAGAGAACCCTGAGCAATCCAAAAGGAGCAATTTTCAGGTGTTCACCACAAGTCGAAAGGATGGATTCGTCCGTCTCAACGCTTCCGCCTTATTTCTTAGAATGATGGATCAAAACGAGGCTTACTTTCATATGTAACGCAATGTCGTAAAGCTTACTGAGCGTGACAGGAATCGTTGCCTCAATCAACTATCTTGGTAGTGTAACATACGTTACTTACCCCTTACGATTTTTAGAGATTTCTATCATTGATTCAGTGGGCATATGGTACACAGATTGCTCAGAATTTTAGCCCAAGTAAAGAACACACAATTTCAGCCTTCTGTGACTGAAGCTGGCCACTTGTCAAATCAAGATAGTAAATCACGTGCTGAAAGTTTGCATGAACGTCAGCATCTCTTCACGAATTTCGGCAACGAATCCTTTGATAGATTGTCTCAAATTCTTTGGCTTGAATTTGCCAGCCTAATGTGTTTCGTTTCGGGCTGAAATTTCTGGGAATCCGGTTGCCATTTTTTGAAAACTTATCCGAATGGTAAACATGCTTAGTGTCTTGGTAACCTCGTCACACCATCCATTCGTTGCTGTAAAACTATCATCACGCGGAAATACAATTAACATTAGCATCTCAAATCTCCGAAATTTCTCGGCTTATGTTAGGGTGTGGGTTATACTTGTGGAAAACCTAACTGAAACACTGGTCTAAATTTCGATATGGATTGTTTGTCAGCCTGCTTTAATAGTCTGCGGGAAAGGGCCTCCGTTTCACTCGTTCAGCGTAAGGAGCCGCTGTTTGTGGTCCAAAAGAGAATATAAACGAATTAGGTTTTCGCCATTTTGTTTATTCCAAAACTGGTTACACAGTACTGTGATTACGTTTTTGGCAGCAGGTCAGTGTTTTGATATTTCAATTAGATTCTCTACATTAAATCTTGCACAACATATAAGTAAGTGTCTTCATTAAAGAATGGGACACAATTTATGAGTGACTTAAAATTTTTGTCAACAGCACCGAGACTGAAAACTGAAAGCCAATCATGTAGTTACAAGAACTGCACACCAACGAGAGCGGAAAAGAAACAACATCAAGAAGTAAAGTTAAAAAGACATCTATTTACAAAATCTCGTTTAAACGACTTGATTTCACTAAGCATACTTAATTAATTAATTAATTAATTATTAATTATTGTTAATAATTATTATTAATAATTATTAATAATAATTATTAATAATAATTATTAATTATTAATTATTAATTAATTAATTAATTAGGGGAGTGTTAAACCTTGACCTCTATCTCTGAGAGCTCTATTACGTTTAGACTGAAGCAACTCATACAATGCCTTACTGGTTTCCTTAATCATTCAACTGAATAAAGCTCTCTCTTCTTATTCATAACTTCACTACATCTACAACCAGCTTCACTGATTAGTTGACACACCATGGCGGAAGAATCCTAGCCTATTTACTTGGATTATAACATTCCTGTTTCTACCTCACTATAAATCAGTAACAGTCCCCACCCTTCCCCATTCAATATTGGCTAAAAGTTCATTGAATCACAATAAAACATTGTTTCGGTGGGAAGGGGGTGAATAGGTTAACGTTACGAAGACAAAAGAGATAAAATTTAACCAATTAGGTGTTTAAAGGGTGAATGTGTAAACAATCTTGTCGCTGATTGTAGAAAATATCTTATTTGTGTATTCGAAACGATAGCCTAGCCTGAGAAAGGAGTACACTTTATCAAAATACTTGCCTTGAAAGACAGACTGATCCCCACACTTTTTCCATTTATTCAAAGTTGTCGAGTTGAAGTGGCATGGTGACGATTTTATCACCTAACAATAAGTAAAATTTATTTTTAAACTCAGCAAGAATACAAAGATCCTATTTTTGAAATATAGTATAGTCATATCAGGCATGTTTAGACTAATGACTTAAACTTCAACTCTCGAGCGTCAAAATAATAAAAAAATCAAGCTTCAAACGTCAAAGTTCCCCCCCCCCACCCCCTTGGAGGATCACCATGAACGGGGGGTGGCTTTGGGGTGAAGCTCGTCTACTCAACCTCATCGCCTGGAAAAAATAGGGAGGCTTGTTCCACAATGGAAAGATGATTCAAGAATGTAGTGACTTAGCTGATACTCAACCACCAGTGGTAACAAACAGTCACATCAACAATGATAAAAATAATAACAGTACTGAATAATAATAGTGATGATAAAATAGTAATAATAATGATAACTTATAGGGGCTAGCTCAAGAACATAGCTTAAGAACTTCACTGTTCCTCTATCGGTCTATTCTCTAGGCTACAATAATGATTAAACTATGCTTCTTTTAATTTTCAATCTGATTTTGCCAGTTAATTGTAAATGATTTTCTTATTTCACTACAATTTCATTTTTGTGAGACTTTAATTCCAAGTAACGTTCGCAGCGATCCGAAGAAATCGTCAGCAAGCGTTGAAAAAGCAAAGATTTTATTGTAAAGCTATATCCATTCTTTACTCGATGCTAATTAATTCCGGGAAAACGAGCCACATCATCTAGCTAACTAATTTATTTGTGAATATTCACTTCCTCTATACTGTGAGCATCTAATACATCAGACAATATTTCTTAATATACTCAATATTTCTTGAACTTTCCCACCACTTTGTTTTTTCCTAATTAATCTTTGTATTGTCAAATCGTCCTATTTTCCCCCTATTTGTTTTCCAACATTTCCGGTACCAGACTTGAGTGTTTTTCCTGCAACTGGCTTTACTATCTTTGAAACGAAAGGCTTTACCACTTTTGGAACTAGCTGGTGGACTGAAAACATCATCATTAGTTATTTCTGTTCCATTCTGCTCGTAAACAAATTTTCCAAATGACTGATGGCAAATTCTCTTAAGGTGGCTCGTACCAGTTTCCTCGCGCGGGGAACAGATCACTCTTGCGTCACGCGCGAGAGAAACGTGCGAAAGAAGCGCGAGATTAAAAGACTAAATTTAAAACAAAGATGGCGGCGCGAGGATTTTTTTCTACTTATGTGCGAAGTTTACCTAAGAGCTTGTATTTGATGTGTTGAGCGGCCACCGTGAATGCAGGAGAGAGAAACTAAGATAAAGAAGACGATTTTCGGAGAAGTAAAGGTTGCTTCACTTCACATTTAAAAGAAATNGTGATCGTCATGCCGTTGTTACTGATAGCATCGAAGAAGATAGTGGTAATGACGATGACCATGATTATAGCCACGACGGTGATGAAGATGGTGGTGGTAGTGGCCGAGATGTTAATATTGAAGAACATGGAGTAAACTGTGGTGATAATGACACTGATGGTGATGCCAAAGACGACCACGATCAAAATGGTATCGATGAGTCCAGTGGTCATAGTAATGGTCGTAACTGTCAAGTATTCTTAGTTGTAGACCCTGAGGTGATTCGCTACATTTTTGAAACTGTGCATAAAGATGAGTTCAACAAATTTTTGAAAGAGCAAGGAATCGAGTTCGATTGGAAGGATGGAAGTAATCTCGCAAACTTTAACTGCATCGGTGATACCGACCAGGAAACCTTGACTTCCCGCGTTAGAGCTGCACAGTCGTTTGTCGGCAATTTTCGCAAGTATGAAATTCCCATGGAAAAAAACATTTGGAAAGCTGTCAAGAAAGACCTCCTTCCAACTGATGGATTTCCAAAGATTCAATATCTCGAGGCGGAGTTGAAGCTGAAGGTTATCGCAAAGGACCCTGAGGGCAAATACAGGGAACTTATTGAAGAAAAATTGCCCACAAGTTCAACCCGTTTTCAATATTCTAAAGGACATATTTCGTTACTTAAGAAGACAGACTTTGTTAAAAACAACATAAAAGAAAAATGTGAACAGGTAGACGTTTACCTTGATGAAGAGAACGAAGAAGTTCGCCTACAGGGTCCAAGACATGAGTTAGATTCTGTTAAGGAAGAATTCTTAAAGCAAAGGCAAGCTACTCGTGAAAAAAGGTTAAACGATGAACTAAGTCAGAACGTAGTACGATTTCTCGCCACAGAAAAAGGCAGAAATGCAGTTGAACATGTTTTGCAAACTCATAGATTTAAAGCCGTCATTGAATTCGAAACCTTTGCCGGGAAAAATTTTGCGAAAATACTTGCAAATTCTGCCGAAGATTTGAAAGAAGCAGTTGCTCGTACATCCAGAATAGTTCATGAGGAAGAAGTAGAGGTTGATGAAAAAAATTTGACTTTGAAATCACATCCTGAATGGAATGAGCTTTGTTCGAATGAAATGAAAAAGAATCCTGGTATGAGCATTCAAGGCCCCCACACATCGAATCGCTAGTTACCTTACTTAGGTATGTTTGAGCAGTTGTATGGAATATGGAGTCTTTTTCTAAACTAATTTTCTGGTCAACATAACCTTTATTAGCTGCTGTCGAATCATTATCACCAGGCTCTGGTCCTTTTAGTCCATTAATCTTATGGTCATTCATGCTAATGTTACCTGAAAAGCCTGACGAACCATCTTTCCTCACTAAAGTTTGTATCAACATAGTTCTGGCTCAGTACTCCGTTTTGTGAGGTGCCTGATAAGATATTAGAGTTTCTATCATCTATAGTTAGACCACCAAAAGTGGTTACACCAAATTTATTTTCCGGCTTTTTTTTATATACCCTAGACAAATAATTCACTATGAATTTTTCAAAGGAGCTCAGTGTCACATCCTTTCTCAGTCCGTTTAACACATAAAAGCAAAGGCGCCCGCAAATAACCTGGTCAATCCTTTGAATTTCGTAGGTTGAATAATTGATGTCCTTTCTAAGGTACTTTTGTAACTCGAGAGGAGGTTGTAAACCGAAACTGTCAAAGTAAAACTTGTTACTGTCCTTCTTATTGTAACAGACCCAGAGACTTCCTGTTGAGAACTGTTTCAGCCGGGTTAACAATAGCGCAGTCTTCCCTTTTAATCTTCTTTGGTAAGGTATCCCTCATATAAACACCTCTCAAAGGGATACCAGGTGTCTTAGTTGCTTTGATAAGATCAACGCTTTTCAATGGTTTATCTTCAAGAAGTAACCCGTCTACATCTATAATTTGCATTTTTTAAATATATACATATTAAAAAATGTCAGCAGTGGATTTGTTTGGTGAAACCTTTTTTCATGGTAGACGAGTTAGTGGTAAAAGTAAGAAAAATAAATCAGCTATTAATGGACATCTTTTTAAACATCCACCAAAGAGAGTAGAGGGTAAGATAATTATATTTTCACAAGAAGATATTAGTTTAGGGATGGACTCTTAGGTGAGAGAAATTGGTAGAGAAACAACGATAAGAATAGAACCCTTTTTCATTTTACTAACTTGACACTTAAAACACGGAAATTTCGGTATGATGAACTCAGTCATAGCTGAATCGTTTGATGACATTGTTGTATCTATTGGTTATATGGATGGGGGGGTTCAAGGGATGGTTAGAGTAAGAGGAGTAGTGGGGTGACAAGTCGAGAAAGTATCAAAGAAGTCATCAAGGGGGCACTCCCCTAGGTGTACTTACAACAATGTAATTAAAAAAGTTTTATCTTTCCTAAAATTAAAAATATGGAGTACAGACCAAGTACCGCAGAAGAATATATCAAAATGGGGAGAGAATGAGACATGTCAACCCTTCTGTCAACCAGCTGATGAACTGACTTCTTCAGAGCTATATCTCTCGTTAATGAAGGAGAACGTTCCCGCTCACGAAGTAACTCAGTCGAGTTCCTCTTATAGAGATGTCGGTGCACATTAATATAGGCTTCAAGCAATCAATAATATAATTTCAGAGCTTGAGAAAACCCAAGATGCTCGAGAAATACTTGTAAAGAAGTATAAAAGGTTTTGAAGTGCTGTGCATGCAGCAAACGTGACGATGGCGTCCCTTGCCGTCCCATCAACAGCTGTTGGTGTTGCTTGTTTTAGCACTTTGGTTGGTGCACCTATTGGTGTAGGTGCTCAATCTGCTGGTTTGCTGTTTGGATTATCGAGAGTGCTATCAAAGTACGTTAATGGTAGAGTAAGCCTCAAGCTCAAGAAGTATCAGAAGATGTTTGAGCCCTGTGAAGGTACTCTTACAAAAAATGACAATTCATGCTTTACGAGACGGGCACATCAGCGAATTTAAAAGAGAAAAGACCCTAAGAAAAGAGTAGAGATCATAAAAGAGTACCTCGAAACTAAGAGGAACATTCAAGAGCAGTCTTTTAACAAATTACTTGTCCACTTTAGTACAGTTCTGTCGCGCTACCTGTGGCGCTTTACTGTCCTCCTTTGATACATAGAAGGTTTTTAATGAAGCACTGATTCCAAGCTGCTATTCCACTTTCAGGAAAAGGAGTTTACTTTGCGAGAGATGCCTCCCATTCGTTTCGTTTCGCTCCAGTTAGCGAGGGTGGTGTGGGTAGCCGGTGTATGTACCTGTCCAGGGTCCTGGTAGGGCATAATTGTAATGGAAACAGAGACCTGATAGTACCTCCTCCTAAACTGAGATCCATCAAGGCCGGAGTGAAGTAAAGCAAAACTAAACCAATCCTGGGGTACTTTCGACATTCAGTTGAAATGTCTCTAACGAGTGACATTCATGGCCAGCTAATTAATTTTAATTTTGAGATGATTGCTCAAGGAGATTTGATATAGTTTTGATGTCTTGGCCCTCTGAAGAATTGATGTATTTGAGAGAATATATTACATATATTACATATTTACATTTATAGAGCGCAGACTTCTATGTAGATATATTCAGTCGCGCTTAACAGTATGGTAAGGTTGAGATCGGACGACAGCATTTTTACCAGGCGCCTCTGGCAACCGCTTCAGTCCATGTAGCGATCTCACCTTCCCACCCAGCACCCAGGGGAGGACATCCACTACACAGTAATATCGTGCATGGGAAATAAACGTCTCCTACCCCTAGCCCTGAAGGAGACGACCTACGGCTTTATGTCTTATCCGAGAAGACGAAGCAATGTGAGTGAAGCGTCTTGCTTAAGGACACAACGTCATGCCCTAGCCAGGACTTGAACCCGGGCCAACGGACCCAGAGTCCAGCGCACTGACCACTGGACTACTCACGCCTCGATAATGAGTGTTCACGGGACTGCATTTTCCTAAACTAAGTTTATACAGTTTTCTTTCTCTGTTACCGTTAAAGTTGTGTGAGGGCTTGTCAAGCATATGCATAAAAGCGGGCGCATATTTACGGTTCAGTTCGCAGCCAATTACCTTCTACCCTTGGTGAATTATGCTAATCTCAATTTTGAAAGTTATGTTACACGCCAGCAGCAACGAAATGATTTCATTCTGCAACCATTGTGACTACTCTGCTTTTAAAATAAATATGTATTGTTCGATCTCCAGTCCTCGTGTCTTACAATTTCCCTGTTCCTCCTCGATTCACCGCTGCTCGCATCAGTTTATCTTTGAATATAGGCTGATAGTTTCGAAAGAAACTGTTTGGGGCTGCGTCGGTGGGAGTAACGAAATAATTTGGATATATCAACAAAGTTGAAATGGTAAATTGGCCACCGTAACGATTACAAAAGCTGACGTTTCGAGCGTTAGCCCTTCGTCTTTCGCTCCGACAAAGGGCTAACGCTCGAAATGTCAGCTTTTGTAATCGTTACGGTGGCCAATTTACCATTTCAACTTTGTTGATATATCCAAATTATTCAGTTTATCTTCCATCTCTTTACAATCATCGGAAATGAAGACATATATCGCGTTCTCTCATTTACATCAAGCCTCGCTTTGATTACCATTTCTCAGAAAGAAAAGCGGAAGTGTTGTCTGCACTCTTCGAGGAAGGGATATCTAACATTCAATCGGCTACAAGACTCGTTTTGTTCTCTTACTCAGTGGTTTCGATCGGGGAATTAACTACAAGTTTGATTGTTTTCTCGGAAAGGGAGGTTACAATCTGGGCGAGTCCCCAACGCTGCTAAGGTAAGCGATTTGAAACATCGTAGAAACAAACAATATGAGACAGGAATTTCATCGATTCGCAGTTTCTCGACTGGATAACTCAACCAAAGTTTACAGCGTTTTCCCGGATTTATGCTGATATTCCCGAACAGAAAATACTTGATTGCTTTTTTCATAACGGTGAGTTTCAATCGTTACGATTTATTCCATGCTTCTCGCACAACGATACGGGAACAAGTGATACATTTTCGATGTATGCCACGATTTGGTTGGTCGTAGAAATTAAGTGATCATTTGGTTAAGGTTACATTTGGTTGAGACCCATAGTTTTTCATGAAGAAATTAAAGAAAGGTGCCCTGACTCGAAACTTTCATACGAAAGAGAGAACAACCAAACCTCGTTTACGTGTTCTTGTCAATCGTATTTCACTCATTTACGGTTTGAGCCTTCACATCGTCAAACATCTGTTTTGAAGGTGCTTAAGTTGGAAGAAACTATGCGAGTTAGCAATTTGCGAACAAGTTCTAAATTTGAGTTCGGAAAGGCTTCACTGGAAATTTTTTCGAAAGGGATAACATATTATGAAGGGCCGTTCTGGTCAAAATTGTAGTAGCAAAAATGACCCAGATGGATAAGTCTAAGTTTCAAACGTTTCAATACCTTCCTTGAATAACATGACATTTTATTACTTATTTTGCTTTCATGCAATGCTATCTTTAAGTGAGGGCGTTAATTTTCGACTTCAATGAGTAATTTTTGTCCTTGAACGAGATTAAGCTCGACGGGTTCGTTATTTGGTGTAATACTCACAAGATTACTGAACTTCATTGAAAGTGAAAGTAATGGAGATGGAAATTACGTAAGGGAAAACCCCCTCAAATGATATTATCTTGTCAGTTATTTGTAATGTATTTACAGAGTATTTCGTTGGCCCTAGATAAAATTAGAAACATGGGAGATTCCCAGAACATCTCGGAACATCAATAACATGTTTGAATTATGAGAAAAATAAATGATGAGGAAAATCAATTAAATTATTCAATAATCGGAAAAGGGAAATAAGCTAATCTTTTGGAATAAGTTAAGTTTGTTTGTCTGTGGGAAGTGTACCCATCCCTAGGGGAAAGGGGGGCATCTCATAAATACGGGCGTTGCTCGAACTTCCTCATAAGAGCACTACGATGAGAATTCCTTATTTAAGGGGGGGGGGGCAGGAGAGGGGTCACCATATTAACAAGAGTGAGGTTTACCAGTAGCGGATCCAGACTTTGATTTAAGTGAGGCCCGTTTTTGTTTGTGTGTGTTCACCTGCCGGCTTTTCTATCGCTGGCGTTAATTTTGTTTACCCAAATTAAGGGGGTCCGGCCCCCCATTCCCCCTGTGCCCTCTGTGCCCCCTCCCTGGATCTGCCACTGTTTACATGTAAATCTCTACATGAAATGCAGGGGAGTGGTACCTAATTTTCATGGTTTTAATCTCAAGTAAAACATAATACCTCCTCCCAGAAGCTCAGAGGCGTGGCAAGTGGGTTCTTGAGGTACCTGTAGACCCCCCCCCCCACCTTTCTGAGATAATTTTGCTTGGAAGCCATAACATACAAGTCATCAGTAGGCAGGTTTGCGAAAACGAGCGAATCAGAAGAATCTGTACAGCATGGATATTTTCCAGTTTTTAGATACTTCATTGGATGGTCCTTGTAGTTCTCATCCCTGGAAGACGAACACGCTGACACACCAGGAATGACAGTGGTACAAGCCTAGAATCTGAGGAATCTAGAATGGAAGGTAAGATGTTATATGGAAAAAAACTGAGTAGCAGTCAAAATGTTTGCTATGTTAAGTAGTTTTTAACATCAGCCTCAGTTGACTTAGAACAGATGACTCAAACTGATGACTTGATACCTAGAGTTTTTCCTGGAAGTAGAATGGGACATATAGCAAATGAAAACACGAAATATGGTAAATTTTGGTTCAGGTCATCGAAAATGAGATGTTTTTCGTTGAACCATATTTCTTAATTCACGTACGCATCGAGCACTTTTGATCATGACGTCACTGATCCTAACAGTATTTAGCAGCCTTGTCGCATATGAAACTCAATAATGGCCTTGCTCACCATGGAATCTCTGTAGCTCAGTGGAAGAGCATCAGAGCACAGAAATTTAAAGGTCTGGGATGTGATTCCTCGTGAGGGACCCAGAGTGTTTTCATCCCATATTCGTGACAAATCGGAGAAAATCCTTCCTTAAATGCCTGAATAATGTTTGACATGTGTTGATCATATACGTGACATGAAAGATTACACCAGCAACAATCGTAAAACCAGCTTTTCTCGGTTTCACTTTTATGTATCTGCATTGATGTCGTAAACTTGCACGAAAGCAAAGTGTTATTTAACACGCTCTTTTGCGATTTTGTTGTTTCTTAAAGACAATAACGAAACCATGAGCTCTCCAGAAAAAGATCAAGAAAAGGATAAAGACAGTGCTAACTCGACAGACAAGAATCGTCCTCAGGGTAATCTATTCGCATACCGGTCTGAACGAGACACTTGGCAGGTGGTTCGGCGAGGTCAGCATTCCACAACATCGAGGGAAGTCGGTGAGAATTACATTTGTTGATTGAAGTCAGATTGAGGTTTCTTTTAAGACGTTCTCGTGGCCAAATATGGCTTAGTGACACTTGATGGAGCCTCAGTTCTTGCTGCAGTCACATTGCTTTGGACAGTTCGCGCGTCCACGTACTTTTGAATGTCGAGGCAGCGGTTTTGGTTACAACTTGGTGATCGATAATCCGATCATCGATCTGTTAATCCACGTGGCCAAAATTCTGACTTCCTCTTCCTAAAGCTGCGTGTACACTGAGACTTGTTTTTATTCACACTTTAATTCATGTCGCATACAGCTTAACCTTACACCGAATTCAAACGGAATCGTTCTATCCACCGATGAAGGGCCAAGCCTAAAATCTAAAATGTTTGGAGGCCATCAATCAAGACATGACAACTTTTCAGTTTCATCTATTCCCTTAACAAAGTTAACTTCACTTGTATTTCAGCACATGAGCGAGGAGGTGGAGGCTGTAACAAAATAAATGCTTCGGAGACGCCTCGTGGAAAACCCTCTCGTAGAGTTCAGACACATCCATCGGATGCCCAAAAGAGGGAAGGGAATGAAGGGGCGTTTTCAGGGCGTGGCGACCGCGGCCGAGGCAGCAGGGGGAAAAGAGGACGGGGTTCGGGAGCTTTTCGAGGAGGACATCAAGGAAGAGGAGGTAAGAGGCTACGTTTCTATAGTAATTTGGTTACATCAACTAAGTTGAGATTGTAAATTGGCCACCGTAACGAATTAAAAAAGCTGACGTTTCGAGCGTTAGCCCTTCGTGAGAGCGAATGAAGAAATTGTGGGTTGTATGTGGGTTTATATTTAGAAAGTGGAGCTAAGCCATTGGTGGGAACATGGCGACGAGAAAAACACAAATAAATTAGTGGAATGAAAAGCGTTCGTTGATACCTGTGGGATTAAGAGTGCCGATTTGAAAGATAAACTTTTGTTCAAGTTTTTCGGCAAAAAGTTATACATCGGCGAAACAGGAGGACGACAGTAGGTGACCGGTTTCGAGAAAATCCCACAGGTATCATGCAACGAACGCTTTCTATTCCACTGATTTATTCGTGTTTTTCTCGTCGCCACGTTCCCACCAATGGCTTAGCTCCACTTTCTGAATATAAACCCACATACAACCCACAATTCTTCCATTCGCTGTGAGGAAGGGCTAACGCTCGAAACGTATGCTTTTTTATTCGTTACGGTGGCCAATTTACAATTTCAACTTTGTTGATATAACCAAATTACCTTGTTAACTCCACCGACGCAGCACCACAATTTCTTTAGAAACTTTCAGCCTTTTTACGTTTCTATAGTTCATTTTCGAGTGAATATATCATCGTCACATTGGGCATTTTCATGATTTATTCATGCTGGAATTATTTCAGAAATTTTTCCAATCCAACGACAATTTCATTTGGTAGAGTATTGACTGGCACTATGATCAAAAGTTAGATTTGCACTGGAAGAATTTTTGGTGTTGTCGAGCTCCCATCCCTGGGTAGAGTGGTGTATTTGGACGAGACGCTGTTGGGGTAGGGTCAATGCAAGATGAACCCATCCTTCGGAAGAGTCTGACTTGAGGGAGTCAGTCATATATCTCGAGTCTTTTTCACCCGCTTTACTAGTTTTGATGATGTTTTATTACAGGGCCTGGTCACCAAGCTGGAGCAGTGCCACGTCAACGCCGCGATCCAGTTTCCTTAGGATTTACGCAGCCAGACATCAGATACGAACGGAACAAGTTGTATATTCTTGGCTTACATTTCAGGTCAACACGAGATGCTGTGAAGAATTACATAGAACGAATCAGTGGTTACGATGTTGATCGCGTGGAGTGGTTCAAACCAAATGGAAAAGCCATAGTAACGCTAAACACGGACAGAATTGCAGGTAAGTGGTGGCACCTTTACTTCAGCTCCACCATAATGGTCCTCTATTTCGTCTGTCGAGTTTCTTGTCACTTTTACACCTTTCATGCTTCAGGCTTGTTTGTATGGGTGGATTGGGTAACATTACACAACTAATTATTTTTACGGCTCAAACGAAATGAAAAAATACAATTTGTTACCTTGCTCTCTCAAGTAAGACCGAAAATGACCTTATTCAGGTCGTGTGTCTGTTGAAGACCTAATTTGCACTAGGCCGTTTTCAATGGCTTGACTGTACAATTGGGCAAACAACCACTCCTACTCCTTGCAATAAGCTTATTTCCTTAGCAGTTTTCGCTTTGAAAGTAACTCATGAAATCCTATTCGCGATTTTTTCAGATTTTGCGAGGATTATTCAAGAATCGAAGGACAGGAAGCTTGAAGGTGTAATCGTTACAATTGAAAGAGCTCCTGAATGTAAGAGTATCTTTGTGAGTGGATTTTCTGAGAATACAACAAAAGAACAAGTGGAAGAATACTTTGATCGTTGGGGCTCCTTAGAATATGTTGCCTTCAGTCCATGGGATGAAAATGGAAAGGAGAAGAGAGCTATTGTGTACTTCAAAGAAAAGAAAAGTAAGGCTCTCGGTTATCTATTTTACCATACATTTTTTTACTGAATAGCTACGCATTTAAGTAGCTGAGGAATGTTCATATCGCCCCCAGCTGTGTTTGATTTTCATTACACAAATACCCCTTTGGTCGTCGATAGGCACAACTGATTTTCCCTGACCTTAACATCTCAAACAAAATATTTACTACGGGGAGTACCGTAACATCGTGCGTTTTTGTCGACGTAAGTTTAATCCATCTACAATGTATTCCCAGTGGTATTACTACTGCAGAAAAGTGCGGAAGTTTCAAATTGTAGGCCTTGAACATTAAATTCCACCTAAAGTTTTCCATCTATTCAGGTGTGAAAAAGTCTACCAAGAAAGATCACTTCATACATGGAAAAGCTTTACATGTTGAGACCTTCTTTCCTTTTATGGGCACACTGCTCCCTGTCAACGAACCGTCAAAATCATCACGTCCTACTTCGAGTGAAGTGGGAGGAACTTGGCAGCCCCAGTTTTACAAGGCTGTAGACAAAGACATCGTAGAGTTTTTGATGAAGTCCAACCAAGAGGCCAAATTAAAAGGGCGTCTTCATTCGAGTGAACATGCCGGCGTAAGGTGGACAAACGATGAAGGATATCTACTGGTCAAATATGACATCACGGCAAGTAAAAGAGTAGACAAGGAGTTTGACGAGGAAGCCTGGAAAAAGAGATGTTCCGATATAATCGACCACTTCATCGACGACTCCACAACAAAAGAATTTCCAGTAGACAGAGAAATTTGGGAAGCAGTGGTTGACCAGTTGCCAAAACCGGAAAACCTTCTTCCGAAGTTCACAGCGCAAGTGAAGCTACTGAAGGAGTCCCACACCGTAAAATTGATTTGCCAGAAGACAAACATGCCAGAGTTTGCTGAAATCCTTGCTAGGCGTTTAAAGAACATCAAAACGGATGAACTCGAAAAAAACCTTGATCAGAAGACGCTCACAGACATTACCATTGAAAAGCTACAACTTCTTCTAAATTGTGGATTTGAAAACATTTTGAAGAAGGAGTTTGATCAAGATCTTCAACTTAAGATTGACTTGAGTAACAAAAATCTTCTTATAAAAACCCCCAAGGGACACATGCAATCCGTCCTTACCTATCTTAGGCAGCGTTTGGACGAAATTGATCAAAACGCCTTATCACAGCCCCCAGAAATTTTAGAAATCTTGAAGACAAAAGTCGGAAAACGAAAGATGACGCAGAAACTTCCAGATGGATGTGCTTTCAATGTAGATGAAAAAAGCAAAAAAGTTATTCTCCTCGGGAAAACACTTTCTCACACCTGTGAGGGAAGAAAAAAGACAGAGACTCTCCTGTTGGATGACCGTAGTCTCAAGGTAACGGAGACAGATAATGACCTCTTGCTTTCACCAAAGTGGGATGAGCTTTGTAAGAAGTTAGTAAAACGCTTAACGATCCGCCAAAAACGTGAATTGGATTGCATTGCCGTCTTTGGGTTCAAAAGCGACGTTGAAGAGGCTGTAAAGAAAATGAGAGACTTCCGTAATGAAAAGAAAGCAACCGAAGGTGAATTCAGGCTCGATTCTCCTATCTATCGCAAGTTCTTCACTGACTACTACAAAGAAGAACTTCAAAAAATTGAGGAAGAACTCGTCCCCTGTTCGGTGAAGATTTCTTTAGATGAAAGCGGCGAACGAATCAAGTATTGTGGAACGGACGACGGCGTGAAGGAAGCTGAAGAACGGATTTATATTCTGCAAGACCAGATCAAAGAAAAGAGTTTTCCAATTCAAACACCTGGCATGAGAAACTTCATGGCGCAAGATGCGGGAAGACGTTTAGTTGACACCGTGGAAAGAGAAAACAAGTGTATCATCAGCATTGCGGAGGAAAGCGAGGAGCAAATTGAGGACGAAATGGAAGAAAGTGACAATGATGAGCCTTGGAGCATCAGCAGCGGAGGCGAGGAGGAGCTTGATGATGTCGACACATTTTTCACCAAGGAGGGCAAAAAGGTGATCTGGAAGAGCGGAAATATCGAGGAAGAACAGGTTGGTGGTCTCATAGAAATAAAGATATTAAACAAGAAACGTATACCTCTATAACTGATACAAATGAACAGGTATCATTTTAGGTACACCAGTGAAATGAATTTGTCAAGTTTTCTTAATTAGTGGGCAACTGAGTAAGTTTCTCAATAGATCCAAAATGGATAATGCGTTTTTTGTTTTCATTTCCATCTTAAACCTATCTCCAAATGAAGACACAGATATGCACTCAATAAACCCAGTAAATTCATGTTTGAACTTCCTTTACTACAGGCAGACATCTTGGTGTGCTCGGTGGGATCAAAATTTAACCTTACAATCGGTGCAATCGCCAATGCCATTAGCAAAGCTGCAGGTCCGGAGCTGCAAGAAGAGTTGAGAAAGAAGACGACAGGAGGGACGCTGGGCGAAGGTGATATTGTCCACACTGGGGCAGGAAACTTGGATTGCCGTCACGTAATTCACTGTGTGTGCTGTCCTTGGAAAAGAAGGCCTCAGGACGAGCAGGTACGGGAAAGACTTTTGACTTGAGTGCTTCTTTGGGCGTTGGTTAAAACTTGGCAACAATGTGAAAGTTGTATTCTTGGTTTCATCCTGATGGATGTACATTGACATATATCCAGCACAAGTTGTCTTGTTTTACTCATAGTTCTCCTTTTTATTCTTTTGATCATAGCTTCTAAAGGATCTACTTCGAAAGTGCTTTGACAAAGCTTCTGAGCTTGGTGCATGCTCTATTGGCTTACCGCTTGTTGGAACCGGCAACCTTAATTTTCCCTATGCCACAGCTGTCCAGATTATGATCCAGGCAGCTGTCGACTACAGTCACGCCAATCCAGAATCTCCCTTGGAGGAAATAAGATATGTCGTGTTTAGCAGTGATCAGAATGGGATAGCAACCTTCGAAGAGAAATTTGAAGAGTTTAAGAAGGAAAACAGACCTGATGTGAAACCTCGAAAGCCACAGATTCGCAAAAGCAAACTTAAACCTGTTCCGCCTGAATTTGAATACAAAGAGGTTCAAATCGGCGACCTTTCGTTGAAGGTGTTGAAAGGTGACATAACCAAGGAGAGATCAGATGCCATATGTAACGTAATATCTCAAGATCTGAACATGAAAAGTGGGACCTTAAGCAGTGCTATCCTGGCAGCTAGAGGAAGCACCGTGGAAGACGAGTTACAGTCCCAGGCACCTCAGCCCCCAGGAGATATCGTGACTACTTCTGCTGGATACTTGTCTGCAATACACATCATCCATATGGTTGTGGGACAAAGAACAAAGAAATGTCTTCAAACCTGCGTGGAGAAGGCTCTCAATAAGGTGGATGCTCTGGGTTTGAAGTCAGTGTCCATTCCAGCAGTTGGTACCGGAGGACTAGGGCAAACCGCTGAGGAATCGGCACAAGTTGTTTTTGGGGCGATCCGTGTGTCCACCGCAAAACCATTCAATTCCATTCGTGAGGTCAGAGTAGTTGTTTTTGATGTTTCCTTCATTTGTGCGTACTTAGCGGAACTAAACGCAATCCAAAAAGAAACCTCAGAATCCTCTCCGTGTGGTGAAGAAGACGATGATCTTACTTATTACGGAAAGAATGCAGAATCTTCTGCTGAAGAAGTAAGAAGAAAGCGTCGTCGCCAGAAGATCATCTATTATGGGCGTCTGGAGTCTTTTGATGCAGTTAATGCAGCCTTGAAAGATGGGGTAATAAAAGCATGTGGTGATCCCCGTGTAATCAAGCGCGAAGTCATAAGTCGTCTTTCCAAACGAGCCATTCGAGAGCTGAAGCAAATGTCTCGTATGCGAGATGTGAAATTGGATCAACCAGAGCCAGGGACTATAAGATTGCAAGGACTTCCAAAAGACGTAATGGACATGAACTCAGAATTATCTAATGCGATCCAAGAGCATGTAGAAAGGGAGCATAGGCAAGAGCTAGCGGAACAGATGTCGAAAACTGTCCAATGGTACCTGGTCAATACAAGAGGACAACACGTTCCTTTCGACAAAATGGCCAACAATGAGATAGAATCAGCCTTTAAGGCAAAGAAACCATCCCTTCTATTCACGCATCAGAACCTAAAAGCTGAAATCAATTTCGGAAATGACGAGGTAACCTTCTTGAGAACTGGAGCAATCAAAAGGGTCCTGCGCAGAGATGGTAGGCAATTTTAAATTGTTTGCACTATTTAAGCTGTTGCAAATGTGAGTCGTTTAAAAAAGTTTTGATGTTTATAATGCAAAGCGTAATTTTTTTCTGTCAAGGTAGTCATTTAGATAAAGAAGGCGATCTATAGCCTAACACAATCCTTGAGAGCTCATCTTTTAAACACTGCCTATTGGCATCTCGGATACTGATCTCCAGTGTTGTTTTACCTTCAAAATTCTGCTGTGCGTTTTTCAAGCCCCATAAATTTGGCCAGCTTGTGATAGGTAAACTAGTATTCAGAGTTAAACAATATGTCTTGTGGGAAATTTGGGAAAGGGCAATGTGGTGCAAGTCTACGATCTCAATGAGACTGTCATGTTTTTGTTTTACATTAGTGCTGCCTCTTCCTGATGAATGGGATCCCCAGCCACGAGATGTCAATGGAAAAGAAGAGACTCTGCATCTTGTCAGCCTTGAGAAGGAATCCAAGGAGTATAAAAAGGTCGAAGATAAGTTCCTCCAAACGATGCGTGGAAAGGCAGTAATCACGAACATCGAGCGAATTCAAAATCCATCGATGCATAATTCCTATATGGTGAGGAAGCAGACTATGTATGCAAAGAACGGAACCATCGACAACGAACTGGAACTTTTCCATGGAACGAAGGTAGAATGCATCAAAGCGATCAATGTACAAGGATTTGATAGGAGTTTGTGCGGTGCAAATGGTACGTACATGAAGAGGTCCAATGGCGAACATAAATATTCACACGGTATCGGACGAATTTTCTCTTTGTTGAGGACTCACGCTTTTAAAAAAAAAAGGGCTAGCTATTCCAAACCAATTCCAAAAACAGGGATGAATTTTAAAACAGCGCGGTCAAAAACTGAAGAACCTCAGTTGACCGTTAAAATTGTTGTGTGTTAAAGGTGTGGTCGTATTGATGCGTAGTAACTCAGCCAGAACGCTTTTTCTGTAATCGTAAAATCACCCCCTGTGCATGGATTAAATGTCCGGTCATATTTTTAGTCGACTTAAAATTCGTCGAAACTTAGTAAAGCCAGATCTTGCGACCCCGTGGTCCATCACTGCTGTCAATTTGCTGTAAATAACTTTGACTCTCTCTCCTTACACGTCTAACGTTTGCAGGTAACGCGTTTGGTGACGGTGTGTACTTCGCAAAAGATGCTTCCTATTCCATTACATACTCTACACCAGACGCAAATGGTAATCGCTTCATGTATTTAGCGGGAGTGCTTGTCGGAAAATACACCGTGGGCAAGCAGGGGTGGAAAAAACCTCCCGCCAAGGACCTCAGCAAGTCAGAGATACTCTTCGACTCGCTGGTCAACAAAGAAGAAAGTCCAACCATTTTCGTGGTTTTCAACGATTTCCATGTCTACCCTAAATACTTAATTAGCTTTAAGTAGATAAAGTGTTTGTAACGTGTAAAACGCCTGACCGACCCAGGAACCCACGGGGGATGAGTTGATTAAGTAATGTTCTAACCTTAAATGTCAGCATCCCAAGGAGATTATTGCCTCGGTGAACTGATAGAATAAGATATTTTGTCATTTTCAACTCAGTTGATAAAATCAAATTATCAGTAATACTCCCCACCGATGCACCACTACAGTTTCTTTAAAAACTTACCCCTTTATCGAATCGATAAAACTTTCGGTCAATTGCGTTTATGAAATAGCTATAGGTCAACGTCTGTTTAGTTAAGAAAAGCCAACGTCTCCTCGTGAATTTCGGCAAATGTTCCTTGGAGAGATTGTCTCAAATCCTTTGGCTTGACTGCCTCTTGTTTACTGCTTTTTTTTCGGTTTGGGTTGATATTGCTGGGAATCTGGTCGCCAATTTTTTTAAAATTGAGCCGAAAAGGTGAACATATTTAGTGTTGAAAGGCTGATAGCTTCGAAAGAAACTGTTTTGGGCTGCGTCGGAGGGAGTAACGAAATAATTTGGATATATCAACAAAGTTGAAGTGGTAAATTGGCCACCGTAACGATTACAAAAACTGACGTTTCGAGCGTTTGCCCTTCGTCGGAGCGAATAGAGGAGTCGTGGGTTGTGTGTGCTTTTAAAGGCAGAAAATGGAGCTACGTTATTGGTGGGAACATGGCAAAGAGAAAAACACGAATAAATTAGTGGAATGAAAAGCGTTCGTTGATCCCTGTGGGATTTAGACTGCCGGTTTATATTTAGTGTATTTAGTGCCGGTTTATATTAGAATGACATTAGATTTTGTTAGACATTTAAGAATAAACACTAGCGAGAAAAACACACAACGTTTCGATGACTCCATGTCATCATTCTCAAGTGAGAAGAGAATAAAAATGAATAGTTAATTTATACCGTACGAAGGTGGCAAACGTAAAAAGTTTAAAATATTTAAAATATTTAAATAAATAATTGCGCGTGTTGAGTTCATAAATGTAAACTATTAAATAAATAGTTTCGCGCGTATGGAATCCGATTGTTTGTTCAAAGAGGGCTTCATCTTCTTTATGAAAAGCATTTCATGAACTAAACAGTCCAGTTTCCCGGTGCACTTTTTAAGTACGTTGAAATGCTTGGTCAGGTCGCCGATGGTTTGTAGGCCGTGGTCGTTCTTTAGATGTTTGCCGATGGCCGAATTACGGTGCTCATTAATACGTTGATGTAAATGCCGGCTGGTGTACCCGACGTACTCTGCATCACACAGATCACATTTATAATTATATACAACGCATTGTTGGCTAACTATAGGAGGTTTAGGCTCACGTACTCTGAGATCTTCACAGATTTTGCGACTCTTGAACACGGGATGAAGGGTGTGATCGATTTTGTTGCTTAGATCTGATAATTGCCTTTTCACTGCGTCAGCTGACTTTTGATCTTTAAAAGGCAAAACCACTCGGTGAACAGCATTTTCGTTGATGGATAATTGAGCTTGCACTCCAGGGTTTTCCGACCTAACTGAGGTGACAAAGTGAGAGATGGTGGAATTGATGAGGTGGTCGGGATACTTGAGGTTTGTAAACATCATCTTTAGATGATCACATTCAGATTTGAAGGACTCCCATGTGGACGACAGGCGGAATGCACGATTCAACATGGTCTTAAGTAGTGATTTCTTGTACCTTTTATCGACGTGGCTCTGGTGATGAAGCAATAGGCCTGTGTTTGTTGGTTTCCGATAAACACTAGTTTCTAGTTTACAGCCTTTCTTGAGCACTTCCATACCGACAAAAGGTAACTTGTTTCCAGATGCTAGCTCCATGGTGAAGTGTATGGACGGATGGCAGTTATTTAGCGTTGATAATAAATCTTCTGCCGCTGGTACACTTGTGACAATAGCAAACGTGTCATCCACGTACCTTCTGTAAAATTCAGGGAGCTTGTTGTCTTGATCTAGTTTCTCTTCGATAGAACAGAGAAATGCGTTTGCCATAAGTGGGCCCAATGGAGAACCCATGGCCACACCGTCGGTCTGCTCGTAAAGATTGCCATCAAATTGGAATAGTTGATTCATAGTTGCAACTTCTAGAAGTTGAACCAGTTCAGGCTTTGTAATGCTGAGGTCGTGTGTAGTATTAAACCAGTTGT